TTATTTCTTCGAAGCGTTATTTCTCTGAAAAAGTAGTTATTTGTAAAACAATAATTTTCAAAAAAACTACTAACGTATTTTGATAGAGAAACGTTGCATTTAAGCACATAAATTTTAATTCTACACCTTCAACAGAGTTTTAGTGCTCAAAAAAGAAATAGTATGTCGACCATGGTACTTTTGCTCTGCAGTATCATCATTAATCCTCTTCTTCCTCTCCTTTCGTATCGTGCATTTCCGTCCTGGTTGTGACAACGATACGCAGCATTATGTATCACGAAGAAACGCGCGTTTCCATGGAGCGTCGATGTTCGCCCAGAATATATAAACGTCCTTACTTACCGGAAGCAGCGTCGGAAAGCACGCGGTTCATTAAAAGTTCCGGCCGGAAAAAATCTCATCTATTAAAATTTCACTCGCTTCCAAGCGTTTAAATGAAGGACAGTTCGGTAGCGATTCCGTCGTTCTCTCTTTCCCCCTTCGGCATTGCCGAGCCACCGTTCGTTGAAACATTTATCGCCAACAGGCGAACACGGTGCTTTTTCTTAAATACGACTATTTACAGCGAGAACTTCGCGGTTTCGTTAGAACCAATCCACCCTTGGATGCCATCCAAGCTCCGGGCGCTTTTTGAGCGGCCGTCGGTCGCGCGGCGCAAAAAACAGGGTGAAGTAGTCGTAGTGTGGCGCGATGAAACACGTTACACATATGTAGGATGGGTACCTCTCGCATGGTCGGGATAAAGGACGCCACAGGTTGCAAACTGCAAAAGTTTATTTCTTGCGCGACGATAAACGGCCGTGAACGCCGCCGATGAGGTTATGACCGCGTTGAAAAAATGGCACGGCTAACTGCGAGAACCCGAAAACTTATTAGTTACTCTTCAAACTGCCAGGAAGGAGCAATTACTACGGGGAAAGATTTTCCTTTTTTTTTTTCATTCGGTCAATTTGAAATTGCGAGAGCAATGGGCAGAGAAACTCGACACGCTGGTTGCCATTCGATGTCCAGAAATTACCTCTGTGATTTCAGGGGTTGAGTGAATTCGAAACCCTGACGATATTCTAAGTATGTACCTATACTGAGAGAAAAATATTTGGAACATGTAAGTACAATTTTCACAGTGAAAAAAATTATGGGCGAGAGAACCATTTCTCTAGTGTTACCATAGTGTCAGTAATCTTATATTTTAATATTGCTTTTATACTGAAAGAGAGAGAGAGAGAGAGAGAGAGAGAGAGAGAGAGAGAACATAGATAAAATTTATTCGGTGAATACTAATAATATATTTACATATACTAAAATACATATTTTTACACAAAGAAAACATGTTTTCTAATGAAAAAGTATACATTTTTTTAAATCTATAGCTTTCACGAAAGCAATTTTTTATTTTCTGTATTTAAATAAAAGTATTTAGATTCTCAAATAAATGTTATTAGTATACACCGAATAAATATTTCTTATTTTTAGATATTCTTTCTCTCACTGTACTATTTTTATATTACTATGTATAAATTCAGTATTATTTATAATTTCTTTTTCGTATTCTCTCGTTTATTCGTTAAAACACGATTTCGTTGAAAGATACATTCTTCCTTTATCGAAAACCAAACTCATCAAGCTACACATTGGAGCCCCCATCGTCGTTAACGCGTCCATCGCTCCAGAAACTCAACACACAAACACACACACACACGTACCTACCCGAGCAACGATCTGCCTCTACAAACTGACATCTTTAATTAAAAGAAACATATGCAAGACGCGTATGTATAAGCGAGGCGCCGTAAACCTTCTCCCTTGCAAAAGTCAATTTGAACTCGCTTAGGGGGTCCATCAGCGTTCACCTGCGTTCATACCTGCGCGCATATCTGTATATCGGTAAATAGCTGCATAGATACGCGCGTATCTCGCGCCGTATGATGTACATAGTACGCGACCCGACGCGGGGATATACGGCGGAAGAAGGCATCGACCCGCGGCTTTTATGAAGATAACATCTCTGCTTATGAAGCATAGCTTATCTACCGACCTCGCCATAGATCTTTCAGCGCGTACGGAAGCCCTCCTTGCCGCCTGTATAACCAACCACCACCATCACCGCCGGGACCGCCTTCCATAATCCATTATAGTTTCTAAAACGGCCCGCAGCCACCAGGAAATGCGCGCCCGAGTTGCGGCAAGAAGCTGTTTACGAGACGCGACCGGTGAAAACTCGCGAAACACGTGCGTCCGCGACCCTGCATGGGTGTACGATGATTTACTCACGTATGGCTTATTCTCGACTGTTTTTCAGCCGTCGCTATTGCTGATTGTAAACGGAAACCGTGAAGTAGATCCCATTGTGAATCCACGTTGTGGATAATCCGACTGCTTCTGTGCGCTTTTACTTAAATTCGCTTGTTTTGCGTGTGTTTATTGAGTGTAAAAAGATTTGGTAGAAAAACATGATATCTCACGGTTCTGATAAGGCAGCAACCTCACGTTGAATTTAATTTCACCTTGCTCGATTAAAAATGTAAGCTACATAGTGAAAAATGTTAAATGATTAAAAACAATCCACTGAAATTTTTGTGTTACTTTCACATAAAAAACGTGTTAAAAAGTACATAAGTATAATATTCATGGCATTATTTTTTAACATATTCGCCTTGTGTTAAAATAACACAAAATTTCAGTGGATCGTTTTTAACACAAACTTTTTTACCATGTAGTTAAATTTAAACTCTTGTTAGTTTAAATATTCTAAACAGCTGCTGTGACTTCAATAAGAAATAATATATGAAAAGACTGTCATCGACACACGTCGGAAATAAATTGAACATTTTGTGCAATTACTGGAAGTTTCGAAAATACTGACTCCTGAAAGATTAAAAAAGCATCTTACAGCAAATAAGATCCTTTTTCCTTCGGAACTCTCGTAAAGTATGGATGGCGCTGAAGTCTTGACATATCTTGAAAGTCTTCAAACTCTCTGAAAGTCTGAGAAAATTTATGGCTACATGAGCACGTACATTCGAGAGGATCTCGCGTGCACAAACAAAAGAAGACTATTAACTATCGCGAATATTAATAACTTCATATGTAAAGAAAACGTTTAGTAATATGAAAAATTCTTCTGAAGAAATCTCCATTAATATTATTAATTTTAAATAAGGTACAGTTAGATATATTTCTTTCATTGACTCATTAGAATATCTTACGATGAAGCCGCGGTCTGTCTGAGAGCAGATTTTTCAGAGAGACGCGCCTTTACAAAAGCAATCCGTTAGTTTATCGCCACTCAATCTTCATCCTTACACGACGCACGGACATGCCACTCTTAAGAGCGACATGAAATATCCTAAAGGACATTTACAAGTCTCAATATCTGCATTTATCGTCAGAAACGCACTTTCAGCATTGCCGTTATTTACGCCGCTGGTTCTCAAACTGTACGAGAAAATTCCAAGCAAATGCCCAACTGAGAAAAGATTATAATTAATGTTGCCAAAAAAGAAAGTCGATCATTAGAGATGTAAATTAATTATATCTTCGTTGGGGTATACAATTTTTTCTTCTTGGAATGGAAGATGAAACAGATAAGGCACCTCTTCGTACCTGAACTTATTATCATTCCGCAGTGAATTTTTGCAGTAACGGTCGCCGATGTCGAGAGTGTCGACGAAGCGAGATTAAAGGGAACCTCTGCACCACGAGCTGGCCTCGCCTCCAATTTCCCGAAGGATCCCTCGGACACGTTGCAACTCAGTGTAATGCGTACGTAAGCAGCGCGGCTTCAACATTAAACGGTCATTTCTTTCTCTTTTCGCAACGCTACACCCATCAAACCGCATTCCTCGAGAAAGTTGCGGCGCGCACATCGTATATACAGCCGAGTAGCAGCACACGGCGGGATTATCTGCGAGCACGTTAATGAAAAGACGTCCGTTCGCAGATGCACGAGGCGCCGCCGTGAGGCTGGCGGGGAGGATGACGTTCCGAGAGAAACGCGCGTTGACTTCCGATGATTAATGTGACGTTATATTGTCCGTTACATACGCATAAACCACGGACACGCTTGTACCGCGCACTTTACAGAACGTAATAAAGGATAAACTTTAATGAGCGCGCGTGACAAGCGAGCAGGTGCGTCTGGCACAGATGCGACGCGTACCTTACACGTGTGTTGCCCGTTGGAGAAATGCAATCGGCGAGCGGGACGGAAAGCGCGTGAATTTTTAACAAGTCGGTCCGGAGGAAAAATCTTTCGGCGCGAACGTTTGGAACGTACGATCACTCGTTCGCACATAATGGATGAATGACGGTTCGCTAATGAGAATTTGTCGCAGTTCTCTCTCTCGTTGGCCTCTCGTCCCTCGTTCTCTTTGTAACAAATTAATTTTAACGAGATCAAGAGACGTATCTCTCTCTCTCTCTCTCTCTCTCTCGCGTTCCAGTCTCCGCCGAGATCTACGGAGAGAGATTTTTTTATTCGGCGAGAAGAGAGTGCACGCCGGCTTGATCATATTCTTCCGAGGCTTTGGGATTAACCGTGGAATGAGTATGAAGAAATCATGATGAAGACTTTGCCTCGCCTCACCACTCCTCGCTCGTCAGTTTCGCCGGCGCGAGAGTATCTTCTCGCCACGAGTTTACCGGACGTTTCGCCGTGTGTACGCGATTCCATCGCGCCGCTCGCTTCATCCCCGTTTTCCGCGGGAGGGGACGTGATAAATGCTCCGACACTGACATCAGAAAAATACACTCTCGTTTCTTTAACACGTCGGTGCCCCCTTATCTCCCGGCTCGAGCCACTCTCCTTGTGAGAAATGGCTTGTTAAAAAAAGAAAAAAAGAAGAAGGGAAAAACCGACCAGTCGGATTTTTACGCCGGCTATTTACGTCTATTACGACCTAACGATCCCGAAGACCGACCGCACGCGATATAACTCAAGCTGAGTATCGCGGAGAGCAGAATTAATACACACGGTGAATACCGCAGGGTGAATAAATGCGTCCTGTGCGTAGCGTCTTTAATATATATCCTTTATACAAATGCACATTAGTAAGTACAGGACAGAGAAATAATTCGTGTATCGTCGTTTTAGTGCGTGAATGTTGTGCAATCTGCCCGCTCTCGCGAATCATTCTCTTCGATGCGATTGTACTCTATGCATATATATTATACGTTGAGCTCATTTATATCTTATGATCCAAGTACAAGATGTTGCAACAATCATTCTTGTGTGCACTCAATGGTAACGTTACATGATGTAAAATAGAAAATAAGTTAGACTTACATCTTTTTCGCGATTACAATAGTTACAATTAATCATTATTGGTTTACAATTTTATTTATTTTCTTTCTTTCTTTCTCCCTCTTGTTTCCATCATATTTAACATAACATTGGACGCGTTATATTGCACTAATGTTAACATATTACGGCTGCATTATACACGTAAAAAAATGCCATTCGGGATTGACTCAAAGAAATGGAAATAACGTATTGACTCGTTACGCATTCGTATCGTGCATAACATGTGCATACGTAACAAGTACCGCGCTTTTCAAGTACAAACGCCTGTAGTCACGAGATAACAGGGTACGAAAATTGCAGTTATGAAAGCAGGGACAAATTGACGGAAAGTATCGTACTATTATTCTCGAGATAAGAATAACGATATTGCTTTGATAATTCGTCCTCGTAAATGCGTAGCCTAACAGTCTGAGCAATATTTGCGCGCAGTTTGATCGTTGCTAACATATATAACTACGTTAAAAAATTCGAACATACATACTAAACTTTAACTTTTTAACATATAATAAACATTTATAACATGAATGAGCGAAAATAATTGTACATATGGAAGGACTATTCCGTTTAACATTTTCCTAAATATTCAACGTTAAACCTTTCGGAATAACGATTATTAATTTTTCTACCGTGATATTGTGTGCGCATCCCCCAAAAAAGTGACTTTTATAAGGTTTATTTTTTGCTACTTACCATGTCACATAATAAAATTTTAATTTGAAAAAAATCTTTTCCGAAAGGTTTAAGTATCTTGGTGAAATAATTTCAAATTAAAGTTCTGCTACGAGGAGTAGCAGCCTTTCATAATTTTTTACTTATATGTTTAATATACCGAATTACATAAGTTTTTATCATCTGCATATCAAATAAATAATATTATACTTAATTTTTTACGCGATTGAACTTCAAGAGACTTTAAGAAACGTTTAAAATCACTTGAACTTCAAGAGAACTTTAAGAAACGTTTAAAATCACGTCATATCTAAAAAATCACTCTGTTTTTAAAACATAATTCGATTGTGCTTCTCGCAACAGCAAACAGCAAACAGCGGGACGACTTTACTCAAAATGTGAGAAATATGCAAACACAGAATATCATGAGAAACGGTGTCGTATATCACGAGGCTAAGAGCACCGCTTCTCTTTAATCCACTTTGGACCGCGAAATTATTCTACGAATATTCACGTGTTTCACGACGTTCGTATTAAGCGAAATTCGCATTTTGTAAGTAAAACATTCCCACGTCTAACTTCTTATAAAAGTGATAAAAATAGTCTGATCTCTTAGGTGTCATTGAGTACGCGATTATCACAGACTGGATAGCGAGTCGCTAATTTACAATAGAGAAGAGACAGTCGCTGACTAATTTAAAAATGGAACTTATTATCACCTCCAGTATCGTGATCACTTGGATAAGTATCAGCCCGTGTAGTATCAAAATGAGCGCCTCTATTGTATACGTATTCCGAAACTTTTCCATCAACGCAAAGTAAATACGTCGCGATGCCCGAATACTGAATCCGCTCAGTCTTTCCACCGTATGATGTAGCTTGGCGTGTTCGCTGCAGAGCCGTTCTATAAAGATATAGTGATTAAAATTATCGTAGAATAAAATGTAATGTCCCCGACTAATTGACAGCGATAACACTCGATTGCATAATTGTCTCGACATAAAAATCAATCGTAAATCACATTGTGACCTTATGACTCGTGGTTTACAAGACGATCCAAAATAATCGTAATCTTCCCGTATCGACGACTTTTTCTCAGAAAAAGAAATTGATTCTTCTCTTTCGCATTTTTCAGATCCTTGATATAATCAAGATCAAGTGATCGAGAGAAGGATACACGTGATCGTTTCACATTACAACGAAAAGGTTACCTGTGTCAAGGTGAGGTTCTTCCTGCTGTGGCGGTAAATACTTATCCAACATAATTTCAGCGAGATCAGTGGTGTTGTCCACAGTCTTCAGAATATTGATACCCGTCTCGGTCGACATGACCCTGTCCGCTTGTTGCCAACTGTAGACTCTTAAGTAATGTACCTTGTAATACGTAAGTAAAGTCATGATCCTCACTCGCTGCTTGGTCTCGTACGTTAGATCGGTAAAAGTTTTCACAGCTGGACGAAGACGTTCGGATACCATAGACCTGGTACGATCTAATATCTACAACAAGAAATAAATATTAGTTACATATGGTCGAAATCACCAGGCTGTCTAAAGAGGCGCGTCACCTGTTTGGGTTCCTCTTTAATAATAGGCAATTTCACTTCTACAAAATCGATTCCCTGGCACAACGTTTTATCCAGAGTGTATATCGGCTTCTCGATGAATCTGGCAACTGGCAAAGACTTTTCTATCATCACGTTCACCATGCTCTCGACAGTGTCGAAAGCCCAATTCACAAATGTGTTCGCGCCCTTCACACGTCCGTACACTTCAGTAGACTTGTCCCACAAATAATTGACACTGGGGATCTTGCGGGCACGATCGACAGATTGAATGCGGTAAAATTGCTCTGAGAGTTCTGTATCCATGGCTGCGATCCAGCTGAGATCTCCTTCTCATGGATAAAAGTAGCGGTAGCTCCTCGGATTCCCGTAACAGCGAAATCTGTAAAAAAAGAGACTGAAATCGAGCTACGAATAACAAATGCCTGCTTGAGTATCCCTTATGTATAATCCATCGATAAAATTGTACGATTTGATATTTATATACGAGGATAAAAGAAATCAAATTTCTTTCCTGCGAAGCATTCTCTCGACCGTTGCATCATAATTCTTATTATAGTCTATTGCCTGGGGCAGCGCGCAATTCAACAATAAACATTCCACAACTACCCCTTACAACGCGCAGCGTGCCCTCGGCGGTTTACGTGGCCTGTAGTTCAAGCGAGACGTGCGTACGGCATTTGTAAGAAAAAAATGAAAGGTATACAATAATATTAGAGCACACTGGCAACGTACGAGAGTAATATCATGTGCCGGAGCATTCACAAAGTAACAGTTGTAGGAACGCGGCTTACTACGTCTCATTGTTGCGCACGATTGACTGCGTGGGTGCGCACGCCCAAGATCAATGTCACGGACGCACGGAATTGACAGGTGACGCGGCCGACGTGACACAACAGAGGAAAACGACACTTACGATCGACGCGGCACGACGTGCGAGCTCCTCTCTAGTCGTCCTGTGTGTGCGCCTTTGTTTCGTCTGTCTCTCAAGCCCCGTCGCGTACGCTGTACCTTGATCCCTGACTCATTTCACTGCGAAATTTGTTTACTCGGCCAGCGGGCCGCGATCGCGAGTTCAAATTATTTATACACTTCCAACCGAGCCCGTTTGCCCTCTGTCATTTTTCACGATATCGACGCGCATACAGATGTCGACACCGAACCGCGCTGCAACTGCTATCAAATGGTTTCGTTGGAAACTCTAATCGTACGTCGGTAACGGTACGTCGTTCGAGACATTTATGGTGCGAGCGAATCTTTTCTTTCTTATTTTACTATTCAATTTTCGCGAATCTGGATTTTACTCGAAAGTTCGTGGCCTAACATTATTTGGATTCGATGAAGCAATTTCTGAAAATGTTCAAATCTGATCATTCCTAATTTTATTTAAAAATAAGTCAATCGACGATATAAATCTTATCGGTATAATTTTGCTAGGTAAACGAATCTACACAGAAAAAGATCTCTAGTCTTAAATTGAGAAGAGATATTTTCATATGTAAGCAAGAATATTATAACTTTTTTAGAAAATCTTTTTTTTAGTTTTGATTTGATCGAATGTATATTAATGTAATTATTACTTGCACTCAAAAGGCCCTGTTAGAGCGGTTTAAGCGAAACGAGTTCTCCCAGCAAGAACTATCGTAATCCTTTACAGCTGATTTCTATATTTCTTACTTTTCAAATTGACTAGGTCGAAGTATAGATACAAGTAACGTTTGCGACACTATTATATTTTATAAAGTGTATATAGACTCTATATAGAGAGTGCGTATTATACATCAGAATACTTTACAAAATATTTATATATATATCTACGTTCAAATTTTGATAGCAGTCCTTTGAAATGATATTCTTCGTGGTGCTTAAAAATATTTGTACATTGTGCAATTAATAACTAACATTTATCATTGAGACGAAATTTCATTCGTTTCTCGTAGGCACAGAGAAATGCGAGATCTCGCAATTTACATCAACATAAATTTTTTAATCCGTGAGAAAATATCGAGAAAACGCACATACGTGATCCTGTTTTAGTACATATTACAATTCACGATTGTAGATTAGATTTAAAAAATTGACATGTGGTGGGTACAATGCGGATTAAACGTAAATCCAGAAGAAACGTTAGTATTCACAAAGCGACAGATCGATGTATTTGTTATGAGGTTTCAATAGCGTTCTATGAAAATTTTCGCATTGGAATATTTTATATTTGTAGTAGCATTCTCTTATTAAAACAAGTATTAATAATCTTCTCAATAAATGTAACTAATATATTCAAAAATTGCACGAATAAAATATACATTATGGAATTTTATCTCTCACGTTTCTGCAAACGTTTGAAACACCTAAAAATTAGAGACGAATGAATTAATTAAATTGTACGAGCACACGTCACGTGAAACGTACGAAGTACTAGGCTCATTTATTCTTCCCCTCTTTATTATCCGTTTGGCCGCCTGACTGCTGCTCTTTCGTCTCGTCCTCCGGCTTCTGTCCGTTATTCAAGAAGTGCGTGAGATGGAGGATAGACACAACGCTAGATATGTACGTTTGCACATCTTCTTTCTTTACTGTCTTCAGTTGCGCAGCAACTGAGTGATATACGCGATTAGCAGTTTTCTTCGATAGATGACCAATAGTCTGTACCGCGTGAAGGACCTTGTTTTCTTCCGCCGAGACTGGACCTACAATAATGGCATTCATCGCGTTAAAACGACCCCGGATAATATAAAATTATTTATTTATTCAATCTTATTTCTACTTAATTTAGGAACACTTTTGTGCAAATAGAATTCAGAGAGAACTTATAAAACTGAATAATATATATTTATAACGATAATATATATTTAAAACGATAATATATATTTAAAACGATATTTATAACGAAACATTTTTATCGATATAAATAGACATAATTATATTCTCCTCACATCGAACGATTTATTTTTAAACATGTGAATAGAATCTTTGCTGTTAATACGATGATGTAAACAGGGAAAACTTTATGTTCTGATTATATAAGATCACGTATATAATATACATATAGTTGCGCACCGTTAGCCAATGGCAATTATGTTTTCTTAAAAAAATTCACGGCAATGATATTTATGAAAATATTCAATCAAGGTAATATCAGCTATAAATCATTAATTTCTTGCAGTTCCGCTTTAATATTCTTCTTAACGCATTACGTAAAGGAAGTCAGTAGATGGCATTGTAAATTTTCATCTTTTATACGACATACTTGGCTCATCACTTTCCTCTCCCTCCACTGGTGGGAAATAACGGTCCAATAAACGATTGACGAGCACACTAGTGTTGTCAACACCTTCCACAGCCTTGTTACCGCATGGTGTGTTCAGAAGCTCGTTCGCCTTAACTACAGCGACCTCCTTCAGGGTATCTAGCTGTTGCGAGACTGACTGCCTCCTCGCGTTGAGTTTGTCGATGGTTGGCTGCAAAGAGCTGCTCATAACCGCTTTAGCGGCGTCATATATCTGCGAACAAACGCGAAAACGGTATTTCTCATGGTTTCATGATTGAATAGATTTCGCGATTGATCTGACATACGAATTAGACGGCTTTGTACAATTCGAGCGTTAATATTCATACCGATATGTGGAAGCAAATGTTTGCTTAAACGACAATGAAACAACACGATCTACACGTTGTGTAAATTGCGCAGTGTTGAGCGAAATATCATCCAGCGACTGTTATCCGCCCGTTGAAATTGTATAATATGTGATAATCGCACGTAATTGGTCTAGCGACATACGAAATTAATTCCATGTAAATCGTCTTCTACTTTTGGACGTAGCTCATTCCTCCAAATTCGCAGCACGACGACAGATATTCTCGTATACTAAGCTATTGCAAATATAATGAGATCGATCGGTGACCACCTACTTAAATATAGTTGTTCTCGCTTTAATCATTCGAAATTTAATTTCGTCTACGACCACTCGAGATGTTCCAGAGTGTAACGGCGAACGATATTTAATCTACATTGTTAGAAAAATCTAATAAACTTAATAACTTTGTTGTGAAAGTTTTTTTTACATGACCAAGTTATGAAAATTAATATTACATAACGCATAGTTATGAAAAGACATTCTGAATTCACTTTTCATAGTGACGTAATCATTTCGAATATGAGATTTAATGAGTGAATATCAGTGAGGTACATCACAATTGATATATTTCATTAATATTCACAACTAACGGTTTATATTGTTGTCAAGTCCTATATCATACATATATCATACTGTGTATTATTAAATATTAGAATAATTCTAATATATCATAACGTGTCATGATTGAATATGAAAACTAAACAGCAAATTGTGTAATATAAGATGGAAAAGTATTAAATTTCGGATTTTTTTTTCATTTTATAGTAAATATAAATCATAACTATCTTATAACTAACAAACACTGATATTATAAAAATCCCCAAGGTTACAAATTTTAATATAGAATTCTTAAATTTACTAGCAGAAACGTTATTACATTTAAGACATTCGTTAACGGAATCTCTTTTACCACTGTGTATTTTACACGACATGTATAAATACAATTGTTCTAAATATGACTAATTTTTTTGCGTGATTCCGCATGCTTCGTTTATAATCATCACTGAAAAACATTCCCGTAGAAATTCTCCGCGAATTTTCGAAGAAAATTTTCTCCAAACACCTTCGTGAACACATTGTATGTTTGCTCAAAAGGGTCGGTCTCGGTTTTTACCTGCTGTGGCGGTTGCTTCACGATCGGGACCTTTTGTTCGACGATGTCCAGCCCTTGGCACAGCTTCTGATCAACGGCACTGATCGGTCCTTCGAATTTCTTCGCCAGAGGAGCTGCGAGTGGTGTCGCAGTGGCGGTCGCATAATGTAATCCCGCTTCGGCGTAGCTCAGCGCCCAGTTGACCAAATGATGGGAATCTTTAACGTAGGAATAGGTGGAGCCTGTCTTCTCGATGGCCGAATGGACCACCGGGATATTCTTCACCCGATCGATCACCTCGAGGCGAGGAGCGCTCTCGGAGTTTGACGAGGTCTTGCTTGCATCCGTCATTCTTTCTGTAAATCAAATAACGTGTTAGAAAACACGTACCAGCTGGCGTATCACTCATATATCCGAAGAATGGCGTAGTCGAATTATCAAATTTGTCTTCGACAAACCTATTGACTGGTACGAATAAACATTTGTAGATCTACGGAAATAACCTCGCGAGGCTTTGCTCAACCTCCCTCCTGAACTTCATCATGCCTCAGACTTTGATCTACGCCATTTTTCTAATGTGAATAATTCATACGTAAGCACATAATAAAAAAGGGCTCAGAATGAAAAAAGGACACGCAGTGGAAATATGTCGTTACTGCGTTATCGTGAGTGCATATCTTAATCGGATTCATGTTGAATGAAATACATGCAACTTTAAAAAGAATTCGTACAAGTGACCACGACAACACGATTGTGTTTGTCACCTCGTGAGTAACGTTTGTGTGTGACATTTATGTGTTAAAGAGTAAGTGGGTACAACGGTGAGACGAGCATTTTCCCCGGAGATCTTTGTACCTTCAGAAGCCGGTGAATCATTATCTAATAAACAGCCCGATATATCTCTATCTCTGACGATGAGTCAAGCGCACTTTGATACCATTATCGAAGCATAACTTGACGGTTAAGCGTGCTCCGTTTCTTCTCGAAACGTGTGTCCACATGTGCGATCGGCAACTTAATAATAAAAAAAAAAAAAAGAAACGAAAAACATAATAGGCGCGTAAAATATTCGATGACAATTATTATTATAAACATTTATTAGTTTTATTTAAATGTATTATTACATTCATCGACGTGCGGAAAACTATGCCAAGGAACGTGGAATCAAATGCAAAGAAAAAATCGTGTTCTACGAATTTGATTATGCGAATCAATGTACTCAACTTGTCATAAGATAATGCGCGTAATACATGATTCATTCGCTAGAACAGACGAGAGAATAATATTGAGTTATTATACCGCATTACTTCACAATTACATTACCTGTCTATAGGTTATGGGAAATTTCAAGAGTTTTCCGTCCTCCTTGTCATGCTTGGGACATATCAGAAGTAATTAAAAAAAAAACATCTTAAAAAGTCTTTTTAAATTTATATCGCGTACAATGCAATTCTGTGTAATAATGCAATTCTGTGTAATAATTACAAACTCGATAACGTCAACAACACGAGGTCACACTGGACCAATTAATATTAAATGCGGCTGCATTTATCATAACATTATTATCGCAAACCACGTAAATTTTCCGCGATATATTGACTTAACGGGAATGCTAATTTTACGTTCAGCGACAATCTATACCGCGAGTTCTTGCTTTCACAAGACTATTGATGTTTGTTGTAAAATATTCACCCTAGCTTTGGATCAAGTTACAACAATCACATTCGAAGCGAACGCGACACTCCGATAGTAATCAATACATATAATATGAGAATAAATTATCGAGCATAAATTATTATACGATAATGAAATAGTAGTATATTTATCCCCACCTATTTATACCCCACAATATTTATACACACCTGTCGTAACAAAAATTTATCGTTAGTGCAATCGTATATAAGCATTAAGTCGTATAATAAATTAAATGATTGCGGAATAGTTATTTGTTAGTAATGATAGCCATGTTAAGAATGCACGAAATGCGAAAAGGTAATAAAATGAGATGACTTCTGTGATGACTCGACAGAAATATTATATCTTATAGCAACGTATGGCACTTTTTTCCCAAATATTCTGCTGTCTGAAAACAATCGTTTCATTTTTCGTACTTGTACATTTCACAATAAATGCTTCGATGAATGCCTAACCGAGATTCTGCAATTCCATGTTGATTCTTTTACAGCATACTTACGTTCTTGATAACCTCGCTGAAGGAAATTCGTCGGTAACTAAATCGTCGGTTATACAGCCGATTCACACGAGACACCGGATAGAACTGACGTTACATCTGTGTGAGAAGTCATAAGTAGGGAACGTGGTCATCAGGTGGGGCGAGCGAAACAGGGACGTCGGAATCGCAGGTTCGCTTCAGGAAAGAGATGAAAGTAGAATTAGAAATTTATTCGCCTTAAAAAGCCTTCTGAAACTTCTTTGTAAATCATAAAATGTTCGAGAGCCCGATAAAAATTGGATCGTGAAATAAAATAAAACTCCGATTTTAAAATAAATCTTCTGATACACATTTCTAATATAATATGATTTCTCTCAGCAACGGACATTGCCTCATTCGTTATATCCGCTCGGCCGCATTATCAGTTATATTTCGCTCCCATTTGATTTTAAAAGCGCTCCATAATTTACTACTGTAAAGTCGTCGTAAAATAACTAACTAACGTTATCACTGTTCGGCTACATTTATCATAACATTTTTTTCTGCTTTATCTCGATGACTTCTTGTATGACACACTTCTGCAACTGGGTTCTTCGTGATATACGTACGTTCATGAATTTGGCTGCGCTTCTGCGCAGTGAAACGTCCCGCTATGTGGTTCTGCCGGTGTGACGTGGAGGTCACACACTTACTTGTTGCCTATAAATACACATTCAAAACGCGGTGGGCAGTCCACCGAGATGACCCTACGAAGAACGATGACTGGAAACCACGATGACTTCCACTTATTCAATCTGATGCAACTTCTCTGTTTAGTGTCTCCGTTTCGACATATCTGTCTATCGTCGCGCACATGCGTTCTCTTCTCGCTGCATCGTTAATCGTCTTCATTAACCGAACGTAGACGCGTAAATTTTATTGCGCACGATAATGTCCGAAACGTCAAACTATAATAATACATTGCTAATGAGAGACATAATGGGTGTAATCATGCGTTTCGTAATTAGCGTAGACGCGTCTAGATAAGTTTTACTGTCCATTCACATTCTTGCCTTAGCGAGACCCAAGTTGCAGAGATAAGGCTGCATGTTATGGCTGCGGCGAATAAAAAGGTTAAAGGATTCAAGAAAACAATAGTGAATTATTCTACGGAGAATATCGGAATATTACTGTTCTCAATATTTAACTTACTTCAGCTTTGTGTACGACGAGTGCACGATATATCATGACGCATCGTTATCTAATAAAGTAATAATAAAGACAGAAAAGAAAAAGAAAATTATTGCAGTTTTATATTTATTAGGCTGATATGCTCATCAAGTACAAAATATATAAACGTAACTTTTAACCAGACACAATAGGTTTCGTATATTTATGTATAAGGATGTATATTACAAATGTATAAATATACACTTGCATTTATGAAAGAGGACGTACTTGCTCACTGAGTGCTATTATTGCATTCGAGACTATAATGGATATATATATGCTGCACGCAATAATAATCAGAGCACAAATTTACACAGTGAATCAGACGTATTTCCAATCGGGAAATTCTACATGAAGGTCCGAATATATATATTTACAATAATTCTTAGGTACTACACTGCTGTAATATATGTGTATTGACGTAAAGAAAAAGAACGTGCATTACTATTGAGTATTATTTTGGAAATTACAGGTTTCGCGATACCTAAATTTCGTTTCTACGTTCGGCTGTATCCTCCAAGAAAGAAAGCAAAGAATATAGCAGGAATGTCCAAAATATATATTATAGGGGCGTCTTAAAGATAGAATATTCCTACGATATATTTTCGACATTCCTGCTCTATAGAAAAGAGAAGAAAATGTTTTCTTCTACCGCTCGAAGTTTTATCTAATCGCAGTTCTATCGTAATCTGTGTTAATATCTAATCCGTTCTAATTTACGATCATAAGATATGAAGACTCATTTATAATCTTTATAATTTTCCAGTATCTCGGCTAAATTAGCACGTAATAATGAATACCAACACAGACAACAATAATATAATTTCAACTAAAGCTACCGCTAGCGTACGAGACATCTCGGGATGAAATTAGAACGTTCGTGAAAGATCGGCAGTTTAGTGAAAAGTGGAAGATCGAATCCCATTGAATACTGAGTGTGTTACGACATGTAATATTTTACATATTTCTAATATGCGATGATTCTCATATTTTTCACTTCTGTAAATTTTGTAACTAAAGGAGCAACTCCCTTCGCACACGGCGCCCATATGCGGTGTTCAATTTGTACAACGGCTTGCGGTAGCTTTGATTTCAATAATGTCAATGTCGCATTGCTATTAATAACGTGAAATTTCAAAGGTTGCGCGTGCTTTTCACAGCTCAATTTCCTTCGCAGCCGCGAAGAATCTGCAAGTATCGCGCGAAATCGCGTTAATTTGACTTCTAGCGGTATGCTATGCAATTATAATTGAGAAATGCGTTTAACGCATGTGAACATTCAAAATAAATAAAAACTATGCATCGGGAAAATTTGCAAGAAAAAAACTTGTGTTTTCAGTTCGTCTTTTCCTTTCCGTTTGTCAAATCTTTCTCTTCTTCGGACTTACATTTCTCGATATGTTTCTCGTTAGCCTCGTGAAGACTCCGTGTGAGACAGAGAAACTCGACTAATTGGTTGACGTAAGGCACCAAGTAATCCTTCTTGACGACGCCGAAATGATGTATCACGTATGAATATATGCGTTTTGTTGCTTTAGTGGTCAGGCAACCGATCGTTTGCAAAACACGCAACAGCTTATCCTCCTCGGCTGTTTTTAAATCTACAATAGTCATATTTGCAATTAAAGGCGGATATATTTCAGTGTAATCGCATAAATCGACATTTAAGAGGAGACAAACTATATGTTTAGTTCAATATAATGTTCTGATTTCAAATTTTCTTCGTTGACTAATAATAGAGAAATTGCGTATGCGAGACATAAATAAAATACAGCAATTAGATCAATCTCCAAATCTGAGCTGAAGCCAAAAGATATTTCAAACGATGAATTAAAAATAGATTATGTAAAGAGGCCGGAAGATAAGAAAGCAACTGGTAAGAAATAATTACGAACTCTCATGTCATATTACTTACTTTCACTAACTTTCTCGCTGACGCGACTTTCATTACATCGTGATTGAATTTTGTGTCGACATATATAGAAACGTTAAGAAGCCAGGAATTTAATTAACTTTTATCCGCTCGTAGTACATTATTTTTACAATAATCTACGTAATTTGGAACGTTCCGAAAAATGAAAAAAATTTATATGAAAAAATATGTATATAGTTACCTATCATTTCTTCCCCGTCTATTGGTGGGAAATAATCGTCAAGGAGATTATCAATGAGAACACCCGTGCTGACTATGCCTTTTACCGCCGTGTTACCATAGTACGTATCGAGTATTTGGTTGGTTTTCTTCCAGGTGACGTCTCGTAAAATCTCCGCTTGCTCGAGAATCATGTGATTTATATATGAAACGCCCATTATCGCGGGTGAAATGGTTTGAAAAGCAAGTATGTACGTATCTTGAACAATCTGAAAGATACAACGTCTAATATTATTATATTCTTGCTCTCGGTTTTAATCTCTACCCAGATAGCACGATATTCCAAATCGGGATATAAAACCTCTTTAAGACATCTCTAACCCCTCTTATCTGCAGCCATACTTGAAGACGTCAACGGTAAGTAAATTTGACCAATCATAGTCGTTTATTAGAAGAATAATCAACCATGGTAGATCAATTTGTTTGCCTCTTAAAGCAAAGTTACAGACAAAGCGTCTTACTTACAGACGTTTTAAAGATACCTTAAAAACGTTTTAATTTTCGACATTGTGCTGTTTGGGTATCAAAATTTCAAAAATTCGTTCGATACGGACATGCGTGTTGAGCGAGATCAAGTATTCGTCGCGATTAGAACATATATATTCATTTCGCACCTGCTCAGGCTTTTCCTTCACCAGCGGCACCTTTTCCTCGATTTTATCGAGACCGCGACACAGCTTGTCGTCGACGAAATGTATTTGGTTTCCAAGTCTTGTCGCGATCGGCATGGCGATGGGCTTCGCCAGCTTCGTTGCGGTATTCAAAGACATCTCGATAGTAGTGAACGCCCCGTACATTAGTCGGTGAAAGTTCTTTACTCTGGAATAAGTTTCTGCGGATTTTGTGAGCGCCAACTCGACCATGGGTAATCCCATCACTCGGTCCAGGGCCACCAAATGAGGAACTTGCGTTGTTGCGGTCGCCATATTTTACCGTAAAATTGTCTCACAGTATTTCGAAAATTTGTATCTGAAAGATTTGACGATGATTTTACAATGATAATTACGAGCATTCTTCAAGCCGGAAAAGATAATTTGTATGTTTTTTTTTTTAGAGAAAGACTGACGCTTTCTTGGTACAAATTTCTCCTTCAACCCGAAAATAAAATTTTGATATCACCTTGATGCTCTTAAAAATAGTTTGCGCCTACTAGACGCAAACTATCTTTAAGAGCCTATAGGTTAAATAAAATCCTACTTTGACGATACTTGACATATTTTAACTTCTCTTTTGAACTTTTAATTCTACAAGTTGAATTTCAATGCTGCTTTTAACAACCTATTTTGATACTAAAACGGAAATTTAAAATACCATCAGGGTCAAAGTAAGAATATATATTACATAATTACATAATTATAATTATATATTATTAGAATAAATAATTTAGTTCTGTGTACTAAATATATAATATACGGAATTAGTACTGTATATATAGTATACAAAATTGCATTATTTAGATTGCAATATCAAATATTTGGTCGACAAATAATCATCAAATTTTAACAGTTATTACCAAATTTTTTCTTCAATATGCTATATTGTGAAGTCAAAAAATGAATAACATCGGGTCGAAAAATTTCGAATTGGAAAGTTTTTTCAAATCCCGCATAGACGAATATAAGAAAGTAAAACGGAAATACGTTCTCTTGGAATATTATTTTACAATACAATCTCTTCCGAATAGAATGGAACAGAATTTCCAAATTTATATATATATATGTGTGTGTATCTATGTGCATGAACGTAATTCTGATCAATGAACTCGATCCTCGCGCATGAACTTTCTCAGATTTCCCTTGAAAAGCGTTCGTTACTACTTAATATTTAGTAAGTAATTATTGCGTTAGATTGCTAAATCAAAGCACAATATTAAATGACACGATATAAATGTAAACGATCGACTCGTTACGAAACTCTATAGAACGCTAAGCCGAAATCGGGAAAATGACCTTTCATGATCACGCAAATGTAGATATATATTGTAAACATCAAGGTATTTGAAAGCAACGATAGTCTACAACATTCTCGAGAAGTGTCGATACAATTCATTCTCTCCGAGCAAAGCGGAGACTGATTTCTATGTTTAATTTTCGACCGAAGTATTTCGCAAACCTTCACTTTTACTCGAGTATAATTACTAAAGTATATTCGAAATTCACAGACAAATCGAAACCGCTAGCCCGACGAAAAGCAAGATGACAGACGATAAGACCGAAAAACTCTCCGATTCTAATATTATTCTACCGATGGATCAATATCTTTTTTTTCTTTTCACTTTTCTAGCGTCTATTTCATTCCACTGGGAATTACCCATTCTTGAACACAGAATTCGTGTGAAACGTGTGACGTCGCTCCAGATTTCCAGAAGTGAAACTCCGTTTGCCGAGGAAAACGCGTCGGACAGTTGGGATGAGAAACAGCGTGTTGAAAGATTCTAATCAGTATAAATTCGCGCATCGATCGATCGAATTTAAAGACCACTTCCGTCGCTGGAAACGATACTCACGAGCTCGAGCGGTTGCTTCTTCGTCGATTAGCCGTTGCTGACGATGGTTCTTCAGTGTGTCTGGTGCGTCCGCACGAATGCCGCCTCCAGTCACGCTCGATGAACACTTATAATGTGACGAATCGCTTGCGCAGTGAACGTGGTTCAAACGAGCCAATGACGACTGAGCGAAGTGCGATGTCCGTAGTTCCTTGGCTGTCTACATGGTCAGATTCACGTACATGGTAGTTTTCATGGTCAGACCTTGAAAAAAAGGGTCTGGCCGCATATAAAAATTGCTACGTGAAGGACGATTAAGACGAATTGTTCCGTGCGTGCGGACACTGAGAAATTTTTTTTTTTTCAAATGAGAACATATATATATATATTTTTCTCTTTTTAATTTTTATCTTTTTATGAAAGCAATTGTTTATTTTAATTAATCCTACGTGTTCCTCTTTTCAATTTTTTGGTGAACAACTATTTTACTCGTATGAGGTATACATTTTTATCGTACTACTCATTTCGATACTAACATAATGTTACGGTATGGTAACATTCACTTTCAGCGTCAACTTGTGATTGCATTTCGTGCAATTGAAACGTCCGATTGTAGTGGGATAACTCGTTACACTTTTTAGAGAAGCGGAATGCATAACGCACGCGAATGTCAATTTTACGGAATAATGCATGAGTCGTTGAAAATGTGTCTTTGAAAAACCTGTATCGAGAGATGTATTTTGTAATTTATTAAATTGTACAATGCTTTCGCGCGTTAGTTAAAATAGTTAATTTCTTCTTCTAAATAACTGAGAATAATATATTGTAGTTGCAATTTTCATGAAAAAAAGTATTAATGATTAAACGATACGAAAGATACGCGTCTACTCGGATCAGCATAATAAAAATAATTTTAATACGCGTGTATTTATATCTCCCACTCTCTGCTTGTTACACATTGAAGTTATAATTTTTTCGCACGCTACTGTGAAAAGAAGGGACAAAATTTCTCGTCACCCCTCTCCGTGGCTGGCCATGTGTTTCTGCCTGCTGTTCAAAGTCCACACTGTCATATCGTGCACGTTATCGTCGCAGAGGCGATATAAGAAAGCGATTAAAGAAAAATTATTGGAAATTCATTAGCTAAGGAAATTCGAATTTCTTCTCCTCTTTCTGATTTGCTTTCAAATTATTAAATCATACATCTTTAATTTTGATTATTTATCATTATTCTGAGAAAAAAATATGTAGAAAATAAAAAATATTTATTCGGTGGTACCGATAACATATTTATTTAATTCTTTCATTTAACTAAAATAAACAATTGCTTTCATGGGAAGATATAAAATTAAGAAAATATTTTTATTTTCTTATTTAAAACAAAAATATTTTCTCAATGTAAAAATATATACATTGATATATGTAAATATATTGTTAATTGTCATTGAATTAATCATTTTAATTTTTGAGGCATTTTTTTCAGTAGGGAATCAGTGTCATGTTTCTATTGTGGATAAATTTTTTTTATGTGAATTTACATAACGTAAAAATGAAACTCTCATTAATGCAAATAAATATGATCATCAAAATGTCGAAATAGAACATACATACAATTTGAGATGTTATATTCCATTAAATGAAATTATATTCCCGATAATATTATATTTCCATAAAAAATTTTTTTGCTTATCAACATACTCGACATTTCATAATCAAAAATATGTGGTAAGTGATTGATTAAAGAAAAAAAAGCGATGAAAAAATACATTAGATAGATACAAATCTGTTTTCACAATCATTACATAATGAAAGGCAATTCGAATCTGTCGTCATACATTTACGTTACTGTTCATCGATTAAATTCCAGAGTCCATGTTTGTCTAACTGGTGCGATTCATAGATACAACTTAATCTTGTAATCGCATAATGTTTTTCTTGAAACCAAGTCCCGCACACTTCACTCTGACCAATGAACTTCGTTCTAATCAGGGTAGATTCGAACGTTTAAATTAGCTTTTCGGAAATCTCTCAGGTCCGTAGAAAGAAACGGCTGTCGAAGACTTCGGATGACGTCCAACATTTCTTTGCAACATAGGGAATTTTCGGTACATTTCGATATGTTAATTATTGTTCTTATTATAAATGTACGTGCATCACATATTAGCAACATTTCGATATTGTTCCATATAATACTGTTAATTTACAGCTATTAATGATGCGCATTCAAAAATGTTGCAAATGCAACTGTTGTTTCCTACTTGTCTGAAATCAACGTATACAAATATCATTATCATTATATTATGTTATTATATTATTTTCTTGCTATTTTTTTTAAATAAAACAGTTAATATTTTGCATTTGTCACATACGTATCGCTACTCACCCGAGAAACAGGAAGTTCAACTTACTTAGATTCTATGATTACATACGATTTCTCCGCTTTCCCTGTCCGAAGAGAATGCAGTGAGAATGAAACTTCTCGCGATCTCTTCGAAGACTCGGAGTTAAAATCCACACCGCGTGATCACGTTCCTGGCGACGTGCTAAAAGTAAGTAATCTTATCTCATGTCATCGATGCACCGCGCTCTAAAAAAATATCATTGCTACAAAAGCCGAAGAAATTGCAAAAATTGTTTTCTCAAATTTCCGCTTATTCATCGAGTGATGTACACATCGTATCGTCGTTCCAAGCGTTTGAGGGATGAACAGAAGGAAATGAATGAACATCGGCTCGCGCAGTGTTACGGTTAATCAAGACGGCCCTTTATTTTTTCCTCCTCACCTACACTCTTAACTACCGTAGAAGCAATAATTTGACCAATGACTAAATTGAGAAGAATGAACGCGGCACGGGTACACTGTGCCGGTGATAAAATATATCCTGTCCTTGTATTATCGTATCAACGAGTATACAAAATCGTAAACTTCGTATAAAGATAATGGGCGCTGCGTTAATTGACGAGCGGCGGCGGTGACGGCTTGACGGCTTCTTCCCTACTACCGAGAGTGTCTTTGACCTTGTAATCGAAAACCATACCGGAAGGGAAGAAACCCGCGCGTAGCAATTTTCAAGCGAGACTCGCGTCGGTTACTCGATACCATTTATCGGAGGATTGGACGACACCGACATGTGGTTGTTGTGGTTTTGCTGGCGGTTCTGCACGCGTGATACCTTCTGAGAGTTCGGGCGACCAGCTAAGAATGCAGCGAGTCGTTCCTGCGGAAAGTAGTCAAGTGTTTTACTATCGCGCATACATGGGAAGGACGAAAATTTCCGAGAGAATGTCTTGATAATTCGCGAGAAAGTTACTCAATGCGATTTATCGCTAGTAATTGACGTCAATATTAGGATAGTCGGGGAGATATGATGGAGTGCGTGCGTACCAATAATAGATTCGTGGTCGAATTCAGTCTCTCGATTGCGGAGCGTATGACGGATACTTGTTCCTTCGCGACAACTTTGCTCTTACCTATGAGTGGTGTCATCTGGAAAGCAATGTGTACATATAGTGTAAGACATTTTATAGGCCTCTTCATTCACAGGCGTTAAAATGCTTTCTTTTTTTTTCTTCGTTTTATTTTTTCTTTTTTTAATAAAACCAACATCGTTCGTCAAATTGAACAAGATATCGCGATCTATTGTCTTTTGTGTGCACAATGAGGAAAAAACAATTAGAAATTCATCTGTAGAATATAAATTATTTCACAGAAATAAATCTTGTCTCTCTCTCTCTCTCTGCGCTAAATCTCACAAGCGAATCTTTAAATACTTTTTCCTTATTATACACTGACAAGAAAATACTTAACATTTATTTCTGGGATATAAGGGTTATTTCACAGAAAAATTTAAGAAACATTATTTCTTCCGGAAATAAACCTCATACCTTTCAGAAATAAATGTTTAAGTACTTCCTTCCCAGTGTGCTCAAGAATGAAAATGGATCGCAATAAAAAAATTTATTTCTGTGAAATAAACTTTATTAAATTTTTAAGCATTTTTCTCCAATGCAGCAAGATATACGTGGGAATCATATTTGCTTTCAAATCAACGTCATTCTTTTTGTTCGAGTAATGCATCGCTAGAAAAGTCGGGAGAAAGTGCGCGGCTTTCGCCGTAATGTCGAGAGGTTATCGCTCCCTCTTCGATCGAATGGCGCACGGGTGAACGGGTGAAAATTGTTGTAACCTTCAACGTGGCATCTGCGACGGCAAGTAGTTGGTCAGAGAGCCTGACGAACAGATGACCTAAACGACGCGGGGTCTTGGCCGCCAATGCCGACGCACCATTCACCAGGTGCACTACACGCCGTGCCGATTCACGCGTCAACAGCACCAGCAATTGCTCCAACGTGGCTGGACGCGCCTGATTTTCAGGTTCGGGTAAGCTCAACGTAGCCCACAGCTCCTTGGCTTTCTGCAGCGCCAGTTTTGGGTCTGTGGCTAGCTACGCACGACAAACAATAAGTAGAACGTAAGGTCGACCGATGAGCGCGAATTATGTTAGTGCTGTGCATGCGTTACGGCAAAAGTGACCGGCTGATTTGGTTTAATCATTTTCCGCTAGAACTGCGCACATGTATTCCGTAGCAAAGATTTTTCTGCATAAAAATCGCCAAGAGTTTCGCCAAATCGACTAATTGTTGATTAACCTGTTCGGTTTGACAAGTTGATTAAAAATAATCAACTTTTTATCGCAATATTTATATATATCGCATTATGATAAGCACTATGATGGTGTCTCTGTTGTTTGTAAGTGGACCGCCTGCAACACATTGCTACTCGACGCTTCCAAAACTAATAGTATAATTTTTGGCTTTGCTAGATACGCCAACCTACGTATCCGGTTGCGCACTTAGAATAACTGTCAATAATATTCAGATCAAGAAAAGATCAGATCTAGAAAAGTTAAAAACCTAGGTATCATGCTTACTGACACCTCCTCAGTGAAAAGAGTTTACTAGCTGCTTTTTCTATTGAGCGCAGCCATTATCTTTATTTACAAAACATTGATAAATAGTCATCATTCTCATCTCATGCTTTACATTATATGATTATCCTTTTGTCAACTATATTCTTTATTTTTCCTTTTCCTGCGCGATTGTCTTATATCTACATGTTATATTTTACCTTTTGTTGCTCTTACAGGATCTATCCTAGAACATAATAAAGCTGATTTTATTCTATTTTATAAACATCGAAATAGATGCAGACCTTGTAGGATCAAAGTTACGAGATTATAGAGTGCGAACGTTGCATAATAGCTGTTTTGCACGACTAGAGTCAGAGACTGAGGTCAGCTTTTCCTTTGGTCTAAGTGCGAATTCTAATACTTCATGTGTGGTTAAATTAAACCGATTCCGCCGCTGTAGAAAAATTTATAGAAAAATACATCGCGTACTTAGAGACATCTGCTTTCTGATGGGTCAGCATGAACTTAACATTTAAGTATCACGCTCTTCTTGAATGTTTGTTGTTACTGTGTTATCGAATGGTTCATCGATTAATACAAGTTATTAATATAACGGACGCTTTGCGCAGTAACATTTCCGTAGTCGATTCCATAACGATTATTTCTGGCGAGCTATATTTTTCCGTCTAGTTATTATATTTACATAGTCCCGGATGCGTAGAAATAATTGGTGAAACATAATATCGGCTGCGTAAAAAATATCAGCATGTAATACACATATGATTAGTTACAAAGAGGTTACAAAATTTTCTTTTTTATAAATTTCGAGACGTATTCCGCGTGTAGAAAAATTTGTTTCTTAGTCATTCTTAGGAGATACATTTTTCTATTGGATATGAAATACGTTACGAAATTCATTGAAAGAAGTACTACAGCTTTTTTATATAACTAATCATACAGGATGTAAGCACATAAGCATTAGACTGAAGGAAAAAAATGCTACATTCAAGTAAATATTTGCTAAGGAGTATTAGAATATTTATATAATAATTTATAGGTTTCGGAAACCCGTTTTTATCTAATTTTACTCAATTTTTCCACGGATATCTTCGGTTTCTGCCCCTATGATACAAAAATTCTCATGTGTTCGGTTAAAAACTATCACATTACTCTGTTCTCATAAAGAAGGTGAGAAACCAAAAAATTTGCGGAAAAATGGGGAAAAAAACGGTTTTCTTTGAAGCACTGAAAACTGTAGAAATAATTATTTTAATTAGATTAAATAAATATTACTTAAATGTAGTACTTTTTTTCAGTGTGCTACATTGAAGTGATATATACTTAATCTACAAGTAAAAATTCCAAAAAAGAATATATATATATATTATATATACTTCTTAGAAAATATTTACTTGAATGTTGTATTTTCTTCTTTCAGTGTAAGGAACTAATTAATAATATGATATATTAATAATATATAATGTTATTAATAATAACAATAATAATATGACATGATAATAGTTTGCATAGGTTTTCTATTATTCACACATGTCCGCAAATTTGAAAAAAATACTAGAGAAATAGGCAAAGAAAATTCCAATCGATTAAACTTACCAATTCTATCACATACAGAAGAACGTGGATGCACTCCGTTCCTTGCTCTTTGAGCGCGCGCGCTTCGGCCAAAGTGCGTCGTGTCAATCTTTTTTGCAGTTTTCGCGAGAATCTCGCGCCGTGCTTGATCGTCCGTGTCGTTTTGCTCGCGGGTTCAGCGGGGCTGATCTCTGAAAAGTCTGTTGCTCAATCACACCACATGAACACGCTTGTTACGCTGAGAAAAAAGTATTTCAGAATTTATTTCTGTAAAATAAACCTTACATCACATAGATGGATCTTATTTTATAGAAATAAACGTTATTTCGCAAGAATAAATCTTATTTCTGTGAAATAAATCCTATAGCCCACAAATATATTTTTAACTACTTTTTTTTTCTCAGTGTAACGACGGCCTGCCATAATTTATCGCTCGTTAATATCGCACTCCGCTGTTGTGTCGTTTATTACTTGTTTCTTATGCAACACGGCAGGAGAATTGGCGACGTTTTGTAATATTTTAAACTGGTCCATTTATGTCCAAATTCAATTCAAATCCAAAATCGCAAAGGAAAACCTTAGCGTTATGTCGTCTTATATCTCAAATTATGAATTTGATCGAGCGCGTTATCATACGACAATCTTACCGTCCACTTTATCAGCTGGATCCTCCGGCAAATAGCGATCTACGTATTTGTCTGCGACCGTTAGTGCACCGTCCAATCTGTCAGCCGCGGCGTCGGCGGCTTGACTACCGATTTGCTTGACACTTCCGGCACGCATCAGCACCGGCCTTACAATCTTGTTATTTACATACTCTCGCGTGTTGAGATACATCTTGAAAGAGAAAATTTGTATTAATTTGCACGCAATAATGTTAACAAGATTAATCAGTTTTTTCTTCTACAGGTTGGCTAATCACTTCTATCTTCCGCTATTCACGCGTTACACTGTATGATTAAATAGCGATCTTTATCATTTTTCCATGTTTCTTGGAGTCTTTCCTGTCGAATTAATATCACTCTCAGGTTCTTGTGTGTAAACGGAAAAATTAATTCCCTTGGTGTAACTGAATTTTCCGTTAACTATGGACCAGATTAAAATTCGGTTGTAAAGGTTCCTTTAGATTTAGTATACGTGTTTGTTCGATTTTTATTTATTTTATTATATTTGTTTAATATGAACAACATAATTTATCCAACGAGAAATGAACCATCGAATCGATATGAAATCGACGTCGAAACAATTGAAATTACATCAAGTCGACTTGATGTCAATTTGATGTCGATTCGATGTTTAATTTTCACTGGATGACATCAAGTATCATTTTGTTTGAATAAAAATATTATTGTTTCACTAGAGTAAATCATGTTTGATAGAAAAAAAAATTATTATTTAGAGAAAATGTTTGGTTTTCAAAAAAAAAAAACAACTAATTTCATTATATATTAAATATTGTTTCACTGAAACAAAAAGAAGTTCTTTAATATTTTTCTAGCATAGTTATCACTTTCAAACATTTTATTGCTTGTGACAACCATTCTAATGTTTGGATGAAAATATTAATGAAATATATTATTTGATACGAAGATATTTATTGCTTGAGAAATCAAACGATTCTTTTTGAATCAAACATTTATTTATTCGCTTTAATATTTAATATTTGATATGAAGATATTTATTGAATGAGAAATCAAACGATCCTTTTTGAATCAAACATTCATTTATTCGCTCAATTCTAAAAGATACATTTGTTTCAATTAAAGAAATTTTATTAAATTCGAAAGAATTTTCTTCTCCGTGTAAAAATATTCTTGTAGAAGGTTTTTATTCAGTCAATTCACAGTTGTCTGAACCAAATTTTAATATAACTGAATGTTCACACGAATGTTCTCAGTCGTGGTAACAGAAATATCATTTTTTGTCACCGAGTTTTTATCTAGTCCCTATTCTACAGCAAGAACTGTTGAAGAGTTCTTTCCCGTGAATATCCCTAAAATTCTGAGTTCGGTATTTTAAATTCAACTGCACTTCCTTTCGCGATCGGGGACTTTCATAATGTTGACCGAAATTAATAATGACATTGTACACGGAAAAATAACAAGAATATTATCCGGTGAAGTAAAAAGATTCGTAAACTTACAACGTAAGGAGGAAGATGCACCGCTGGCACTCTCTCCTCGACAATGTCGATACCTTTGCACAGCAGCTGATCGATCGTCGCAATTGGCCCGTTGAGCGCGAAAAAAGCTGGCTTCGCTGTCGCCGTTGCAATCGCTAATGACTGCTCCGCCGTACCCAGGCTCCAGTTCATTAAGGAATTCGAACGCTGTACAGGAACAAGTGATGACAATTAAGCATCGCACAATGGATTCTGTCTTCGTGACATGGATAGATTTTCCAAGAGAACCGTCCTCGTTTCTCCCATTATGATTAAATATTGCACAGAAGAAACACATTACATTTAATATATTATTCACAGAAGAATCCATATTTTTCATCGCACTATTAATCGTTCTTTAAAGAAATTCTGCATTTATCTTAGATTACACAATAAAAAAACTTGTGTCCAAATATTAAAATTTTCTGGTGTGTACTAATAATTTTTAATCATTATTTAAATGTAAAATTAATATACAGCTGACCATTTTCGTGATATTTTTATATGTTATATCAATTTAGTAACTTAACATTTTTGTGCATCATTTAAAAGTGAAACCTTACTTCGAGTTCTTTTAATACAATTGTTTAGTTGATTTAATATATTATATATATTAAATATATATGTGTTTGTTATCTCAAGATTGTGTATTAAATCGATATTCACCTGCAGTAACAATTATCATCTTAAAATTTAGGCAATGCATATGTAGGTGAAGCATAGCAGTGGTGTAGCACGTAAGATGGTAAGTGACTCAAGATCTAAAGTTCCAGAGTTCTCAAGTCCATCAAGCACATTTTTCAAATAAAATACTAGTTGAATCAACTAAATGGCAAATAATTAAGAAGATTTCAAGTATAGTTATTAATGACATCTTAAGAATATGATTAAAAAAAAAGTAATAAATAATCTTTCGAGTGAAAATAGCATTTGTTCTATTTGACATTATAGATATATGCCAATTTAATTGCTATTACGAATAAAATTTAAATCGAAATAAATTATATCATATGTCAGAAGAAAATGTGTCAATTCCATTAGTGTCAATTCATTGACATTTTCAATTTATGAACAAGTAATACATAACGAATGAGTTATTTCGACTTAAAATTTAGGGTGGACTTTCTGGAACAGGTAAAAAATATCATGTAATGATGAAAATTAATATTTTATTTTTTACTGTGTATATGTGAAATTTCCATTGTTATCTAACAATACGACACCTCTATCACGCGCAATATAACATGTGAGCCTACCTTAATCTTTTCATACACATTACCAGCGATGTGTATGCCGCTCTCAACGATGGGGAAGCTTGAAATCCTGGCGACGGACTCGAAATGCGGCAAATTCGAGTGTCGTCTTTTTGCGTTTGATCGTGCCATTTCAGAAATAGTTGCTGTAATTGACGATTGACAGTTGAATTAATGGTAGCTCGCTAAAATAACGCTGCACACCGTTCACCAAGCGTCGATAAGACTATTATCGCTAAATTTAGCTTCATCTCGTGTTTCGATATAGCACAAGCATCACGCACGCACGTTGCAGTGGAAAGAGTACATATCTGAGCGATTCAAGAATTATCCCTTGCAATAAAGTATACGGTTGAATGTACGATTACACTCAGCGTCGCCGTTTTATACGTCTCTTCGGCCGTTCTACTATCGCGCGTTTTAGAATCGCTCGCAATTATACGATACAACAATCGCTCGATTTATATAAATATATGTTTCTCTTTGCACTATCTGCGTTACCCGAAATAATTTGCGTATTATTTCGATTGACAGCGTAGCGATCGGTTATCTCGCACGAGCTCCGTCTCTCGTTGTCTTTCCGACGACTCGCTGCGCTAAATGCAAAATGCACCGTTCGTATCTACGGACGGTTGCCATCGCGGCCAGTGAAGACTAGATTATCGCTTATGACACCAGTCCGCTTGAAAAACACGTGCTCCCTTCGGCAAACGTAAACGGAGCCATATGTCAGTGAAAAAAACACGAGCTGCATCGGCGAACCGATAAGGGAGGTCATACCGCGAGAATGGCAGCGATTCTGCTTCGTGATTAATGTCGAGGCTATATGCACTTGTACTCCGAGCGTTCTGTCAAATCGCTCGAATACTTCGGTCCAAATCAATTCATCACGATTAATCGGCCGGCATGAGACAATTCCTCCACGTCCGCACTTTTCGCACTTTCACCCGCGATAACCGAGTCTCGACGAAATCCGGTGAAATCCACGACCGGCGCGGATGAACATTCGCGGATTTGTTTCGGCCGAGAATCGATCGATTGTACGACACGCATCGCGCGAAAATCAAACCTGCTTCGTGTACACACCCAATGTCATCTCGTCGTCCGCAGGATTCGCCTCGGCTTAACGGTATACGCGATGCTCGCCGTTTATCGTGTGAAAAACTCAATCAACCGCCGCGAAAAATTCAACCTCAGGCCGCTCCCATTCTTTATCTTCCTCTCTCTCACACAAACTCTCTTTACCGAGCACTCGGTCAATCGTCGCTAAATGATCATTACGAGACTTCACGCACTGTCCCTTCCCTCTTTTCTACTCCGTTCTCGATTTGGCTCCGCAATCAGCTGTGCAATCAAGTTCGGGAACCACACATAGGCATATAGAGCATAGCATGCGAACATAAATACGCGCGTCCTCACGGACAATGCACGTACTCATGCAGACGCGTCGACGCGAGTACCGCTATCAAGGGATCCTTACCTGAGGACAGCTGAAGCGGCGGCTGTCGGGAACTGACCTGGCGATTTTTCGTGGGACTCGTATGACGGCGAATCCGTTCCGACGACAGAAAACTCGGCGTCTCGACCGAAGAACGCGCCGTTGACTGCACGCCGGGGCCTGCGAACTGGTATCTCATCGGCTTGACCTATGACACATCCGATTATATACGGACGCAGCGGACGGTAATGGCGCATGAAGAAAACTTGTTCTAGCGCCTCCGTCATCCGCACTTCGGAATCGTTCATCTGGATATCGAACCGATTCTGCGAAAATGTCAGCGCCGGATCTCGCGCACGTTAATAATCCGCCGTTTGGAACGTCTGACGGCGGTAAATCATAAACGGGCCGCCGAGATTATACCGTGATATGAATTGGGTAACACAAGTGAAATACTTTTTCTCGAAAAAAATGTTGCACGTACGAATTACGTCTGCGTTTGCTTAAAAAAGAAATACATCAGCTCTTTGAGCGCGCAGAAAAGAGGAAAAAAAAGGTACGAATTTCTCTTTCTCTCTCTAATAATGACAATATGTCGTGAGAGAAGCGCTTATTACGCTTTTATCAGATCACTCGTGGTACTTTTATTGGCTCTCGGTCCTTCCGAGCTGTCTTGCAATTATTATTGTCCACCTTATCAATCAAGTGTTGCGGCATACGATATTTCAGATGTATGCGCGTAAAACATCGTATCTTGAATTTGGTTTTTAAGCACCGCTCCGAATCGCGCGATTTGGGGTACGTGCGGTTTAACGTTGTATGTGAGTACGTTCGTCCTATTTCGGGATTGCATCGCGTGCGCCTAATCGAGTGAGCATTCGTCATCCATCGGGCTGGCTCCATATATCAGATGAACATAATTAGCAGATTGATACTCCAAGGGACAAGAGTGCTCGTGGAAACGTGCCGGGGAAAAAGAAACCATGGAAAATTTGAAATTATCGCTGGCAGACGCTCTTAATTGCCATGGCAAAGTCCATTTCGCGTCCATATAGGGACGAGTGCGTTCGTGCTTTAATACGTCTCAATTTCCATTAGAGTTTCTCGTCTGTCAACCGCCGATGTTCTTCTTCACTTCACTTATTCATATGTTTTGATTATTCGATCCAAAGAAATATTACGTACAACAGTTCGTATGAGATTAAAGCCATTTTTACTTGTAAATAACAATGAGACGACATATAATTCAAATATTGGCTGTTGTTATCAACGACCTTTCGCTATCTTTCGGAAGAGAGTTTGATCCCGCGCTGATAAAATGACACATTTTTTGAGGCGATCAATTCATCGACCCATTTCGCACTTCCTTAGCATTGCGGAACCACATTGTGTATCAGATAGACCGCGCTGCATCGATCTGAATATGTGAAGATCAGATGGGGCGATGTTTAGAGAATGCACCGGGTAGGACCTCTCAATTTAATTTGAACAACGTCGCAACGGCAACACGCGGCCTGCCGTTGTAGCGAAGCAAGATGACTTTGCACCGATTCGCGGGTATTTGAGTGCGCTTTACCTTCATGGCTTGGTTCAAACGCCATGATTGTTGCGATCTCCTGTGACTGACTGGCCTGATAGTAAAGTCCTTCTTAATTCTATCAGACATAGAGGAAAACCTTATGGCCGTAGATATTGTATTTCGTTGTGAATGTTGATGGTTAGCTGGAATCAACCCATTAAATGAACAAAAAAAAACAAGAACTTATATTGTTACCTGCTATTTAGATTTATATTTTTCATACATGTGTATGTGTTTAGATTATATATCTGTAGCTTAATTAAACACATATCTAAAATATATTAAATTTAAAATAGTCAAATAGTAGGTGTTGCGCATAGAACTTTGTTGGTTATTGTATCTGTCGTTACGATTCTTTTAGCTCAATTCAATATATATTCCAGCAATCGGCTATTTTCTATTACAAACCTTTTGCACATTTATTTTGCAAGATCATAAGACCAAAGAAATACGTCGATTGTTAATATACTGACGTAATACACGTGTCTAGTTTGTAGATAGTTTTGTATTTTTCATGATTTTCGCGAGGCAGTTTCAATCTCAGACACATCGTCCATAACAAATTAGGACACTCCAGAAATGTCAATATGAGAGAGCGACACTGCCATTCAATGTTAAAATTTCGCTGTATCAGTTATTGTCGGTAAGAGTGGGTAACACAGTAATAACTATTCAATAGTAGGTAATATAAGTTTCTCAGGGGTCGGTAAGTTTTCAGGGTCGATATATTTTCGGGAGTCGGTAAGTTCGAGGGACGGGGGGGAGCGGTAAATTTTTTTATTGTGCATCGCAGAGGCAGAGCGAGATTTAAAGATTCCAATTTTTGGGTAGTTTCAAGTAAGCATAGTATTTCATTTTTTACGTATTACATATGAACCATATTGCATTCTCGAAGCAATAGATGTCAATGGGTTTGACCTGCCTTACAAAGTTACGAGTAACCTAAGTAATCTCATAAATCTCAAGTAGCTTATTATCAAGAATTGCAAAAATGTCGACGCTTAGGGCTTAGACAAAATATCAGCAAAGCTTCCGGAGTTATTTGACATCTCAGGCTGTGAGAAAGTTACTGAGAGAGGATTGGAGAAACACTGTATAGAATATTTAATCAGAAGAAATTGATGATTACAAATTACAACAAATCTGCTGTCTTCAAGCTAACGTGTATGATGTTAGAAGTATGTCTGGGTTGTGAGAATCCTTGGAAATACAAAAATGTTAATTGTGAGTCACATTTAGTAAGATTACAATGTGTAGTAAATACCTCACAGAAAGATTCACCTCTATTTGCATGTATTGCACCCTATTTGTATTATATAATTTTAACTACGCAGCAAATCAACTGTCATTACTTGAATATTAAAGCAAATAGAATATTACGTAGTAAAAAATAACATTTTGTGTAAGATATTAATTTCTAACCAATTAATTTTTTTTTCTCGACGTTTCTCCATAAAATGTACTCCAGCTCAATTTATAATACCACATATCATAATATTTTCATCGTTACAAATAAGTTTAACATGTCTGAAAGAAAGATTATATTTCTTCCAAATATGTTGCCAACTTGTTTTCTTTAGGACGTTGTTTCTTTCAAGAGACAGTGTAAACTACTGTACTGTGTACAGTGTGTGTACTTGACTTGTGAGAATCCTTGGATATGTAAAAAGAGTAATGTTAAATGAGAATCACCTTTAGTGAGATAACAGTATGTAGTAAACATTTCACAAAAATATTCACCTCTCTTTTTATCAATTATATACTATTTGTATAATTTCAGCTACACTGTAAATGAATTGTCATTACTTGAATATTAAATCAAATAAAACATCTTGTAGTAAAAAGCAACAATTTATTTAAAGATATTAATTTCTTACCAATTAATTTTTTTATCAATGTTCTTTCATAAAATCTAATTCAGCGCAATTTGTAATACTACATATCATAATATTTTCATTGTTAGTAATAAGTTGAATATGTTCCAAACAACGATATTTCTTCCAAATATGTTTCCAACTTATTTATTCTTGACGTTTTTCCTTTCAAAACACATGTGTTGCTCAACAGCCTTCTGAAGAACTGTTATGTGGTGGAACCTGCGATGAAAGAAAAATTTTATTATTAGGACGATTGATCAATTCAAATAGACCAACATATAGTTAATAAATTATTAAAAATATCACAAACATTACTACTACTGCATGTTTTGGCAATTCTCCATGATTTAAGAATAAAGTTGGGGCATGTTCTTATGCAACTGCAAATTGTGATCAAAGTACTTTTATCATAACATCTGAGGATAATCCAAAAGAAGTGAATCAATAACATTGTCTATTACTACCTTAGTCAGCCGCAACAATTCTTGATGAATAAGTTGTGCCTAGTTTCAGACATTGCTTTATCAGGATACAATTCTTCCAAAGTATCTCTTATTGTATCTTTTAATTGTGAGTCTTCCGTAATGTGCATATTATATAGTTTACGATGCTCATTTATTTATCTCCGTCTCCTAGAAAAAATATTTTAGTTAGGTTAACAAAATTGTTCACTGTCTCTTAATAGGTTATCTTTTGTTAATATACTGATGTATTATACATGTCAAGTTTGTAGACAGTTTTGTATTTTTCACGATTTTCGCGAAGCGGTTTTAATCTCAGACACAGCTTCCATAACAAATTAGGAAGCTTAAAAAATGTCAATATGAGAAAGCGCCTACTGTTTTCTCGAAGCAATAGATGTCAATAGGTTTGATCTGTGTTTCATTACGAAGGTCTGAATACGTTGTGTAATCTCAAAAATCTGAAGTAGCTTGGCATCAAGAATTGCAAAAATATCAACTACTAGGGCTTAGACAAAATATCAGGAGAGCTTACGGAGTTATTTGATATCTTAGGTTGTGAGAAAATCACTGAGAGAGGATCGGAGGTACTGTATAGAATGTTCAATCAGAAGAAATTGATTGTTACAAATTGAAACAAATCTGTTGCATCACAGCTAACTTGTATGATGTTAGAAGATTGTATGTCTGGCTTCACTTGTGANAAAACGTAATATTAATTGAGAGTCACTTTTGATAAGATAACAATTTGCAGTGAATATTTCACAGAAAGACTCACCTCTACTTATACGCATTATATACTATTTGCATAATTCCAACTATGCTGTAAATCAACTGTCATTACTTGAATATTAAAGTAAATAAAACATGAGGTGGTAAAAAGTAACACAAGTAGGTAGTAAAAGTAAGTTGTTTCAAGATATTAACTTCTTTCCAATTAATTTTACATTCGACGTTTCTTCATAAAATTTAATTTAGCTGAATTTATAACACCATGTATCATATCGTTTTCATTGTTACAAAGAAGTTTAATATGTTCTAAAAAAGATGATATTCCATCCAAATGTGCTCGCAATTTATTACCTTCTGGATGTTTTCTCTTACAAAAAATAAACACATGTGTCGCTCCATAGTCTTCTTAAGATCAAGAACTGTCCTATTATGTGGTGGAAGCAATGGTGAAATAAAAATTATATTATTAGGACGATTGATCAATTCAAATAGACCAAGATAT